TGATGTAATGATATTCAGAGGTAGGTATAATAGTACCCTAGTTATAATTTAAACTGCTATCCAATCATATACACGCTATAGGTATTATAATAAAATGATTTATTCGACGTCTTGCTCACATAATAAAAAGCATTATTGAAAGTCACGCTGCAAGTTCCAGATCCTACCACTTTAGCCGGTGGGGAGACATTTTGTTCATGGCGGGAGTCTATATTAAAAATTTGCGCCAGATTTTTATTTATCTGTATCAAACCGACCTCTGGCTGTTGTTGACAACGCAAGTCCAAATGCGTGTGTGCGTATTTCATTAGGATAGACTATAAAATGTGAAACTCAAATAAATGGCATGTACTTGGCCGAAAAGAGATTCGCAGGCTGAAAAAAAAAAAATATATGCACTAGTTCATTGCGGATAATTTATTGTTCACTTTTCCTTGATTGTATCCGGTAATGTTATTCCCTTATAGTGGCCCACTCGCACTTCTCTATCAATTTCTCAACCTTCTCCTTATCAACGGGCAGTTAGTTTTATTTAATTACCTGTCCACTGTTTTTAATTTTTTTTTCTCTCAGACTAATCACCTCGAAGGCCGTATTTTTACACCGAGAAAGCGTTTGAAATAAAACAAATAGCCACGAATATATATTCGGACGACACTAAAAGAACGTTACTCGCAGTCAACGACTAGAGCAAACTGTATTGCTGCTGCTTGACGTAGCTCGTTTAATTTAAATGCAATGGTATACAATACTGTGTAGAAAAAAGCGCAAGTGGAAGAACAAGTGGAATGCTAAGACAAACAAACAAAATGTATAATAAATTAGTTTAGCCGACGGTGGAATAATCCGCGAGAGTCGTTACCGCACCTTCAGAATCGCCCTATAGTGTAATGCCCAATATCCAACGACAACAGTATCGTTTACCAATGATATATTATTATTGTTGTCCCTGCAGTAGTGCCAGTGCCGAGTCGTCCGAAGAATCGAGGGAGACTTAATAAAAAAAGCTCGTTCAGCTGTTATCCGTACAACATTGATAACGATATTAGTTTTTTTGTATTATTCTATAAAAATGTGTTTTTGTAACACTATCATCGGGGTCGATGACGGGAATTTAATTGCGATTTGGTTTGAGCATATTATTAATTTGCAAATACTGAAATACATACAACGTTATTATTATTGTCTGCCGAAACGGCACGATAATGATAATAATATGTTTCGGTATAATTTATAATCTGTAATACATTATTATAATATACATATATATATATATAATATTATCAAGATTGGTTTTGATATGCGCCACTCCAACTGATTTGGGATTAGATTTAACGACAAGCGGTCGGTATTAATGTCGAACATAATCGTTTAGGTCGTTAAATCCACTGCGCTTTTTGAAACCACTTCGGATTGATTCCATTATTGTTGATTTTGGAAAATATGTTCATGCTACCCCATAGCTGCGGTGATATAAGATAATGGACGTCGTGCACCCACATATTACAACACTCATCACGACATTAACTTATAGAATCTTATTCACGCCACGTTAATTTAGTAGCTGTTTTCGAACAGAAAAAATGTTTTTTTTTATAATTTGTATTTTTTTCTTATATAAATTTGTTTTCTTACGACGCTTTCAAAGTTCAAGAATTTTATGACCCGGATACTGGTACTGCGGTTATTGTGATGTTACATAACAATTTAAGCAAGATAGCAAGCTTCATTATTTCTGCTGACTATTTATTTATTGTTAAGCTTTAGTCGGTGCAAAAATAATTATCATAATTAAATTATATCAGATACGAATGGTAATTATTTTTATATTAATGTATATTTATTGAACAGTAATTAATTGGCATTCGAGTGCCTTTTAACCGTTTGAAAAATAAAGTGCAAAGTTACTGGTCTATATTTCAGTAATACCTAACAACTATATATGTATATATATATATATATAAAAACAATCTAATTTTTAAATTATCTATCATATTGTGTGTTACCCAATTGAGTGTCAATCGTGTGATAACTTAAATAAATAAAGACCTAAAACCGTGTTAGATGAAATATAATTTTTGTATAGAATCCGACCAAATAGCGATAGAAAGGTTTTATTTTGTATGTTGACTCTATTAAAACTAATAACTTTGTCATTGTATTGTCAAGTGTTGATGCCAATATATACTAACGTGATGAATAACATGATAAGTAAGTATTTAAATCCAATGACGTAACGCATTGTTTGCAGCGGACCTAAATATTGTTGACGATAAAACAGCGGTTAGGCGAAGAGAGTTTTTAGTGTTGTTTAAGCATAAAAAAAAACTAAGCTACTATCGACAACGTTTTGTTTAAGAAAGATAAGAAAACGTTTTTGGTCCAGAAGATTTCGGACCAAAGCGTTCAACCGAAGTAAACGGTTTTCCCTGGCAAGAAGAACTAAGTAAATTTATTGGTAGACGAATTTAAAAAAAAAAAAATAAGAAGCTAAGCCACCCTGGAAAATCTCACAAACACCGACCTCTTGACTTTGTCACATTCAAAAACCATTATCTGGGTACGCCCGCATGGCCATTTTGGTTTTTGTTTTTAAGTATCCGTCGCAATAGGAGAAACCCTATGATTTTACAATTGTTGCAATAGTTTTCCAAACGTTCTGATAATATTTTGAGTATGCATATTGATGGTTTTTTTTTTTACAAAACGAAACTATTTCCGACTGTCTACCCACGTCGAATCGTTACAAAACAACCCAAACGTTTGGAATAGCGTTCATGATTATTCAAACCTCGACGAATGCCACAATGGCGGACAATAATATTGTGATGATCGCAGCACAAAGCGATTCGCCGGTAAAATTGCTCTCTTGAGAAATTACCGACGTTATTCACTTGGAGATGTAGCGAGCTGTGCTTTATCTGTTTAGGTGCATCTCATTTACAACCGAAAATGCGTTATCTCACGGTGGTCAAACCTAATCTATCCATACTAGATTTTAACATAAAAAAAAAAACAACGTTTACAAAGCGCTATTTCTGTTATCCGTGACAGTGTTATCGACGGAGGTCAGTATTATTGTTTAACGGGAGCTCGCTACTGTCTTTGAGAACTGTACTAATATCGATCTGAAATGCAAAGTCACAAGTGACGAACCGATTGTTGAAAATTAAAAATTTTATCTCTTACTGCCCAGTTATGGACTTAAAAAAATATATGTTTGCATTTGTCGAGAAATATGTATTTATTAATTTATATTTTGTATTATTAACACGATTATATTATTATTCAATTAAAAGGGTTTTGTGTAGACAATTCTCGATTGTCCATTTATGTGTTTCACCTGGACTATTGTTTTTTGAAATGGAATAGGACGTATAATAATAATAATAATAATAATAATATTTTATATCGATATTATGCTCATGTTGTGAACACTATGATACGCGCATACGTCGCTCGACACACTGTGAAGTGGTCATCATCAATCGACCTCTCTCTTTTGGCGTTTCGCATTATTTATTGTCTGGCTTAGGTCTCCACTTTACAAGGGTTTGCAATTAAGTGACGTTGTTAACCCTTGTACATATGTGTATATATTTACATAAATATATCGTTGTGAAAAAGTCGACCGGTGGTGCGCTTTATCGCAGCCGTTGTACACCCTAAACACGGCCAATGGTGACACCGCCGCCACTACACTAACCCATGTTTTGTATGCAATTTATCACACAACCTTCGAAGAAAAATTCGAGAAAAAAAAGTAGCTGTGCGTTTTGAATGATGTTTTATTTAATAATAATAATAATAATAATAATAATAATAAAAGAATGAAATTGAACAGAACAATAATAATATTATAAACGACCAGACCACTACAGAGCTTCTATTAAAAAATAACTACTGTAGTTGACAGTTCGATCAGTCAAACACTTTTTGTGCCTACAGCCAATATAAGTATAAGCAACAACCTATCTCGTTTTCTGTTTGCTTACACACACAGCTTGTTTCAACGTAAGAAAAATAGTATTTACATTCAACAGCACAGCCATCGTCGAACATAACATATAAACACTATTAATATGGTTCCGTATTATAAGATCAATAAATGTTTATTATTTTATTTTGCAATATTCTTTTACTATATCATAAAATAACATTTATTGTTATGATTATTAAACATTTCAACCTTCATTCGTATAAATATTAATTGCTACTGTGATTTCATTCATGTTTTGTACAATGTATAACGTTCAGTTACTAACTATTCGACCATATCAAAAATCAAAATTGACGTCATACCTGCTTTTGAATTTTTAAGTATAGATTTACTTTCACGCTAAAGCTGTTCATTTTATCAAACAAATAAAAAGGCATCTCCGTTATAAGAGTTCAAAACAAAATACATATATTGTCTAAATACCAGTATGGATGCTATTTTGACTAAAACCTTTAAGCACATTTGATTTATAACAAGTTTTGTTGAAAAAGTGCTGCTAATATACTATAGGTCATAGGTCTTCTAATTTATATCAAAAGATTATGCATAATGCATATTGTATTTTATAAGAACTAATTAATTTCCATTCTTGTACTAGCCGAATACATTCATTGATAACTTTAATTAGCACATTATATGTGTTTGATCAAAATAACACAATACCTAATAATTGTTTTTTTCCTATTCGATTATGTCTAACAAATGTGGTTGTTTGTAAATTTAAACCGAATGAATTATTACGAAAGACATATTTAAAAACATGTTTTTCTCTTCGTTCGAAGTCAGATGTTATGCGATTCTGTTTCTCAATCGTTTTAATGTTTAGTAAAATTATTTAAAAATTACTACCATCACAATATACATCCGATACCTATTTAAATGTGTAACTCGCCTAACTTTTCATTTTGAAACTAATATAAATAGTATTAGTTTCTTTTTTTTTTAGGGTTACTTCAAAGTACACTAAAGTATAACTACAACAAATGAATATAACTCATAATTCGAAATGAAAATTAAATTATTTAATAAGAATAAATTAACAAATCACACAAGACATGATAGTTTTTGTAATGAACATAAAGAACAAATAAACATGTATGCTTTTTAGTTGTTAAAATTGAATTTAAGATGAAGATGAAGGGAAAATGTTGAACGTCTCCGTTGGGTCAACAACATTTAGGCGGATTTTCCATCGACTTTGTTCTGAAATAATAATGAAATTATATAATTACAGTTATTAAACGTTGTGTATTTTGTTATTAAACGAACTTTAAGTCGTTCTATAGTGAAAAAAATATACTCACAGCTACGGATTGGATGATGGCGGTTAAATCGTCGATTTGCTTTTTGCCGAACTCTTTAATATAGTTTTCGGAAGCTTCAGAACCTTTAGCTTTCACACCAATTTCGTGTCCTTCTGATAAGATAAATTTGGCAGCGCCTTCGTACTTATCGGCAACTTTGTTTGCATCGGACTCGATGGTAGGGACTTTGTAGTTCTCAACTTTAGCCTTGAAACTCTTTACGGCCTCTTTTACTGCATCTGAAGCGTCAGCCTTGGCTTGGACCTGTTAAACAGAGTAAAACAATACCATAATATTGCATTTGAATGGACAATTACAAAAGCAAATACAAAACATTTTATTAAAAAAAAAAAATTAATATTTAAAAAATTATCTCTGCAAATCAAGACTAGAAATATTTGATGGGTTTTTTTCCAATATTTTACAGTTATTTAATAATATTTATACTCAATAAAAAAGTTTTAATTATAGATATTATTAGATAACCTTTTTTTTTTTTTAATTTCCATTCTTTACACCAGAATGTATTTTCATTTCATGTTTTTTTTTATATTGGACCATCGACGGACGTTATCCATTTTGGAACAATAATTTAGTATTCGAATTGAAAATTAAAAATGAAATAGATTACCTTGGGATTTAAATATCAATTACAATTTTATAAATCAAAATATATAAACCCTGCAGTTTTTATACTAGATGTGATATTGACTAACCATTGACAGAATAATACCACGAAATGAAGTAATTTTATTCTAAAAAAATTAAAGATATGATAATTTTCAGAGGGAACATTACGTTTGTGTTGAAAGTGGCGACGTTTCCTTTGAATTTGTCGACAAAGTCGAGGAATTGACTTTTGGCTGATTCTACGATTTCGCTGTTGCTGCTGCTCCTCAACTTGGATGCGATATTTTTGATGTTGTCGTGGATGGGTTTTGCCCATTCGGCGAGTTCCGCGCTTTCGCCGTAGGCCTGCCGGGGTGAAATAAAAACAATGGCACGGGTTAAGTTGATGCAAAGAAAACCACACAAATTTGACTCGTCGGTCAGGTTACTCACCTGTGCAGTGAACACGACCATTACGACGGACACGGCCACGATTGCTGCTGTTCTGGTGGAAACCATTTTCTGTGCGTATGTAGTAGGTAGTAATAACAATAATAATAATAAAAAAATAATAATACAAAGTACAGATCGAGTACTCGCAACTTGATCGGTCGAAGCACTAACAGTAATGCAAGGATTGCACCCAGCGCCTATTTATATTAAGGGCAAAACGGCACGACAATCAAACGGACGTGTATCGCTGTAATCTTTGATCCCGCGCCCGGACGATTAGCTTATTTACTTGTTATGTAACACCGGTAAATAATTAAGCAGTAACTTTAAACGCTCAATAACAATAATTATTAATTATTATTATTATTACTCACGTCTTTTAATATTCACCTTGTAAATTTGGTTTTCGTCGTGCATAATAAAATATGTTTTCTGATATTGATTTGTTGTTTACCCGAGATTAGAATAACGACCTTTAATTATCATCATTGAAAATACCGTTTTTCTGTTTCAATTATCGTTATGTTATTATAATATTGACTTATTTCTAATTGTTTGTCAAGGTACTATCTGTTGTGTTCAATAACAATATAGGTTTTGGATACAGTTTGGATATCATTGAAATAACACACGGGGCGGTCCCGGGTGAATACACTGACTGAATAATTACTAAAAAAAAAAACATTACTCTTCCGTCTAATCCCCGTCGATACCTTTAAAACGTATTATTTAACGACACAAGTTGACAATCAGGAAAACAATTCAGGAGCCAATTACTGGAAGTCGGCTGGTCGGACTTGGTACACTTATGTGCCTTCCTAAACTTCCTTCTTCAAAATAATACATTGGTACTATTGATTTTGGTTTAACAAGTTCACGGCCTCGTGTCACAAATAATATGCGACACGGTCAATATGTATGATATTTGATGTTTTTGCTTAACAACACACTGCCACGGGCATTATGATTATTGTTATTTTATTCTTACTGTAGTTGAATTTATTTCCCATTGCACGTTTTTTATTCTAAAAACTTGTGTTAGATTTCATAAAAAATGTGTTATTTGATGGTAATTTATTTTTTTCGTTTTTTGTCTTTCGTGTCTTGATTTCAAAAACCCGATTTCACAATAAGATGCAATAATCCGATAAAGCAGAAAATACGTCATAAACGTATTATATAATGTACATATGTAATTATGAAAAATCGTTAATTCAGATTTAACTAACAACAGCCATTCAATGTAATGACCCATAAAAGGCCACTTGGATTTGCTCCTTGGCCGTAAACGTTTCGAATGCGGTTCATAAAAAAATATAACCGAGTTCTAAATAAATGCACGTCGACTAACTAGACCGGTCATTAAATTAGTCATAATTGACTACCTACGTTAAGTACATGTCATGCGTAAAGTGTTATATATTCTATAATGTCTGGCCAAAGTGCATACTATGCGCACTGATGAGTGGTTTTTAGTGCATTATATTCTATGCAATTACTAGACATCATGTTGCATTAAGTTTAACTTCGATACAAAGCTGAGAGGGCAATTAATTTTTGATATTTTATTGTAATATATCCCTTACCGCCGAACCGTTTTCTTCATGTGGTGAGTCTATAGAAGTCAAAAACCAGGAAATCAACCAGTCAACATTTTTAGTACATTATCCTCCACTTAAAAAGTCAATAAAATGTATGCGGTACCATTTAAGTTTCAAAAATTGTTATCAAAAAAACTAAATTTGAAAGGGGGTAAAAACAAAAACAAATTGTGGACAACTGAGATCACCCTGTATAAAAACAGTATGAAAAAAAAACATTTCTCATTAAACCCTATGAAATATTGATAGGTTCACGATAAAATGTTTACCCTGTATATAGTTAATTTTGTTCATATTTTCTGTATAAGTTCGAATTTTTTAAATTAATTTCTCCATTTTTATTTGCCTTATTTAAAACTGAATACATCACTGAAACATAATTAAGCCAACGGGGTACATCGTATTTCAATCATACACTTTATTTAATTGTTTTTTTCTAAGAGTTTTCAACCTTTTAAAATTATATGTCCATTACAGTATGTCTACACTAATTAAGGCTGTTTAAAACTGAATTAATACATTGAAAAAAAAAATAGAACGAAAAATTGTAAATGAACCAAGGTAGCTATGATAGCAGTGAGTGTAGTAAAAAATAAAAACACATAATTGTAAAAACTAAATCTACCTTCTGAGCTACGCATCAAAGCTGTTTTTTATCAAGATGTAGCGAAAAGTTGCATGTACCAAACCCCTTAATAATTGTTATTTATTATTTTTCATATATTAAGGCGTTTAGTATAGGCACTTGACCGCGACAAATTCGGAGCTAAAACTATCATGTTATAAATAATAATTATGAAATTAAAAAAAAAAGTACCTTCAAGAGGACATAATTAGTATAATCGGTGTTCTTTGTATTGGCATCATAATTATGTTTGTATATTATGATCAATATGCGTGTAGAGCTGTATACAGAATCTTAGCTTTTTTTGTTATCTTAATATTTTTACTAAACGTTTATACAATATGTCACGCATATAAAATAAAATATAAGAACCAAGCTAATATTTTAGTGGCTGACAAATCCAACGGTTGTGTTGTTCAGTATATTCACTATACTGTATTCGACGCAAATTTATAATTATAAAAAAAAATTCAAACTACTTGTGCTAAGTGCTTGCTTATTTGAGAACCTAGAGAGGCACTACAGTGCCTGAGTGTATATCCTTGTACACTATATTTTACCTACGTTATTTTGTAGTGCACCGTTTTTTTGAAATTATAATATAACTCCAAATCACATGGCCGACTTCACTATTATAATAACATGTTTTTAAAGCAATCTAACACGCTATAATAGTATACAGTTTCCACTAACGAAGCAAATACTCTTCTAAGTTTTCACAGTCTTGTGATTTTTTTTTATAAATCAATGTCCACGGAGAAAATAAATAATTGCATTATACCTCAATTTAAAAAAAAAAAAAAGTAACATTTGATGAAATGATACTAAAAAATAATAATAAAGAAGCATGTTGAATATTTTTAATTTACGGTACTCGTAGCACAATGGCTGCGACTGCACAACAATTATTCTAAGTGGTTGGAGTTAATTATATTAGATAGGATAAAAAAACACTTGTATAACGGAATTGAATTTAATAGTATGACTTCAAGATCGACTAATATAATATGATGTTTTAGTGGATTTTCACTGGGTATAAATACAACAAAACAATTAGGTATCTGGTAATCAAATAAAATTTTAATGACACGCCATTGTAGTAAAAAAAAAAAAAAAAAACAAAATATAATATTGCGTCTAAATTAATAATAATCAACTGAATTGGTATTGCCACATATGAATGGCTTGTTTATTTCTTTTAATTGACAGTTACTATTCTGTGCGACATCATGAAGAATGTTCAGCAATGTTCATCTAAAATCAGATTCAAACAATTGTTTTATTTTAAATATTATTATCCCTGCAGTGATACTACATATTTTTTTAATTTACATGTATCGATTTCAAAAGCTTTACCTGGAGTGCCCTAATGTTTTCAATTAAATATTGAAGTTGCTTCTCTGCGAAGTCTGCAATTTCCTTTTTTATTTGCGCGCTGCTTCCGTGTGCTTTCTTCATTAACTCTGCGGATTTGTTTATGATGTTTCTTTTAGCACGCTCAAACTTTTGTTCGATATTTTTTAAGGAAATGTCGTCGGGAAGATGTTGGATGAGAGAGTTCATAGCGGCTTGATATTTCCTGGTCGCGTCTTTTAATAACTGGGGAACGTCGACGTTTTCTTCCATCTGTGTATGCGAACAAATGTGCGTGGGTTTAAATTATATCAACATATTTCCAATAGAGTTTAGTAGGAAAATTAATGTTTAACTAATTAAGTATTTCCGAATATTTCCAGAAATTTGTTTAAAATCAAAAGAGAATAATATTGTTATTGATGAAAAATATAACCGGGTAGGAACTTCCCAATGCTCAATTGATTGTGCTTAAAACTAATTGAACATGGAAATGTATTAATTTCCCACCACTCATTACTAATCTCACCACTCATTTGTATGTTAATGAAATGACTGATTTTCTAGAATTAATATAAATATTTTACATTCAGACTATTCATTAAAAATTAATGATATGTTCATGTTGAGAAATTATCTGTTCTTTTAAATTTTGTTTTCGGCAATTGAATTTCAGTCCGGTCGAAAGTGTAAATGTAATGACCATAAAATAATACTTCGAATCTGATATAATATTCCTACCATATATCAACAATATTCTTATTGCCAATTAACAATTTATTAATAACTTAAAAACACAAAATATTTTTCAAACATACCATTTGAGAGAATTGGTCCAGTTGAGATTTCAATTGGTCTGACAAATCGTTGAAGCTCTGTTTTGCCATCTCATTGTATTTTTCGTTTAGATTGCTGAGGGCTTCTTTAAATTGTTTTACCAAGTCACTCATGGAATATTCGATATTTCCAATGTCGCCTTGAACGCTTCCAGGACGGGTTCTTTGTATTTCGACTGTTCTAACTACTTGTACTTGCGCACACTAAAAAAAGTTTGGTTTAATTTATATAATAAAACAATTTGCACTTTTGAGTATTTACTATTGAAAAATGTATACAATATTATGACTCGTACAACTTAATGTACAACTCGTTTTATTTCGCTGAGAGTAAAACGTTAACACAACGGCAACGATAAAGATAATATTATAATGTATAATAATATGTTGCTACTCACTTGAGCGACGGCTAAGACCATTACGGTCACGGCCAATACGATTTTAATGGAAACCATTGTCACCGTTTGAAAGTTAAACTTGAACAAAATAATCTAGAAGGAGTTTAGGATGTATAGTTGTGCTTTGAACGAGAACGCGGACAATACTGCTTTGACTATTGAGATGAACATCTATTTATATATATATCTGTCGAAGACCAAATGACATGACAACAAATTCTACTCACGTTTAGGATATATTATACTTAGGAACACACATTTTTTTTCCATACAGACTTTAGTTTTGCATATCTGATAAGTACATATAGCCAGTATTGCAATCATTGCATGTATTGCGTACAGTGGACTTAATGTCATATTGACTTCATCCTAATAGTGAAAAATCCTAGAACCCACATAAAATGAACTCAAGATTTAAGTACTTTTTACATACAAACAATAATCTTAGGTACTATAAAATATCCGTTTCAATTAATAAAATATTACATATTATATGAGTACACGTGATAATAATGTTTAATGACAAATATATATGTATATATATTATTTAAGATGTATATCAATAATATAGAAGCCGTGTGAAGTGTGGTCAAATCATTTATTTATACAGGATGATAGATTACCCCTCATTTTCTTGGAAAATATTTGTAATTTTCTAGATTTTCTTTTCGCAAACATTTTTATTTAAATTATTTTATAACAAACTATTATAAAATTACTAAGTATTTAACTTTTTTTAGTATTTCCCTGAGCTCTTTCGACATTTGAAACTTATAAATAGTAACGTTTATACGTCTCAATTAAATTAAGAATAATTTGCTGGAAACGTTGACGGGTCGATAATCAATTTTGGATAATTACTTTGAAAGCTATTAAAGTTAAACACTTATAACGGGAGGAAGGGTGCAGGGTAGTATTATTTTTATCTGCGCGCATTACTCTACCACAATCTATCTAAATTAAAATCGTTTTTAACTTTAAAATTGATTGTCTAAAATTAGTTATCGACCAATCAAAATCTTCAGCAATTTTGTCCCTATCATTCTGTATATATATATATATATATATATATTATTTTTAATGATACTAAATTATTAAGCTTGAAGAATTCATTAATTTTACACAAACAGCCATGGTTTGAACTAAAAATTTACTAATATAAAAATTGGACGGCAAAATAATAATACATTTGCATTATCAATATGTATTGTTGTTGTACACATTTTTCTATGCAATTATAAATGATCTAAATTTATTCGGGTTATCCGATAAGGCGGAATCAACAAAACGTGAATAGTCATTGGGTACACTAATTGTAAGAAGCAAATATTATTTTTGTTCGTCCATAATTTAAGCGTATTATATATTCGAAAAAACGTACGAACTTGTAAAATTGTTTACGGCATAAAAAAATGAATACAAAATAAGAAGAAAAAAAAACAGTACCGATGAGTCAATCGACTGCAAATATTCTTGAAATATATACAATGCATACATCAGAAAAAACGCACCCACAGTCAAATTTTCCTCGTTTGCCAAAATTTTATTTTTAGAAGGACACAAAGAAACGCCAATTAGGATTAAGTGGCCCCCAAAGCTTTTCAACCCCCGCGTCCTCTAATAAATTTACAGAAAACCTTTTTTTTTTTATTTTAAACTTTATTTTCAGATCCTCATGACTTAGATAATTGCTTTGTATGTTATGCAACGCGAACGGCATGACATCAATAATGATAATAAAAAACTTAACTTTATAATTACAGTGATGCTGAATTCTGCTGATGTAAGTATATAACATAAGTGCATTTTCTACTTAAAAAAGTTTAAAACGTAATTCATAATTATTATCAAGTTATAAATAATGTTTTCATACTGACTAAACTACAATATAAATAGATTATTAGTTCGTTTTTTAATACGAAAATGACCAACTGAAAAGTAAAGCCTGGTCAATAACAGAATTTATATTATTATTATACAAAAAACATATTTCGTGAGTCTTGTTGCGGGAAAAAATTAATATAAACATAATTCAATATTATTTTTATTAGAGTGCACTACTCAACCGCACTTCCTTCCACGTGTAAGCCATTAGTTCCAAACACTGAACCATTAAAAATGTCGGTAAAAAAAAAGTGGTCGAAATAAAATTATTCACAAAATGAATGGAAACTTATTACATATTTACAAAATTTAACTTTACTTAACATTAAAAACTAAAAACCATAATAATTATTTTGTTTTATTTTAACTATGTTGTTACTGATTCGCTATTCATAAAGTTGCTCTATCCCTTTAATTGTGTATGACAATGACTCTCTATTTATGTAATTATTTTTTATAATTAGTTAAAATAATAATCTAACATAGCTCACAAAAAAAAAAAAAAAAATGAAGGTAAAATTCTACAGCTTACATTCTATAATAACCATTATACTGAAATTATGCTTGCAGGTGACTTTGTGTGGAGATATTCAATTATATTATAAATTCATTTATGCTTTGTAGAAACCAAAACGTTTGCAAAAATATAATTTATATGGTAATGATGCGTTCTATGGTATTCAAATATTTCAAATCGTTTGTTCGGATTTTATTATTGTTTTTTTTTTAATGTGCTGACGTTTTCTTAAGTGTAAAACAATCTACGCGAATAGCCAAATTGTATTTATTTCCGAAAGAACTACTTGAATTGTATCTTCATTTATTCGACGAGAAACTCATTACCGAAAATTAGTTTATGAAACTTGAGAAAACTTTCAACAAGTATGTTTACACCGACCTACTTGTTATAATAACGTAGATTCTATACCAAATGCCTGCATTGACTGAAACAGTACATGAGTTTGAAAATGTCTAGAAAATAATATACAGGGTGAACGGTTCAATTCCTCTGCCTATTATGGACTTGTAAAATCAACAATGTACGGCAAACATAAGTATGAATTTTGAACCCATTTACCATGTTATTATTTTGGCTCGAATGCAAATGCGCTGAGGGAACTTTATGTTTTTGGTTTTCTCGTCTTCGCTGTTATCTTTACTAAATCAACTGGTGTTCTGGTCGGTTAGACACCCGCTTAACAAACTACGGGCCAAAGTGAATTGATATACTTAGGCAATAGCAATGTAAAACAGTATTAATAAGGTAATTATACTAAGGATTACAAAGTGTAGGAATTTGTCGAAAACAAATGTTTGATTTTTCTCTATAAAACATCATACTATTATAACGTTATTAAATAAGCACAAATATTCAGGATTAGGTGTTTTGCTTATTTTCATTTCTTGTGCTTGGCCACGCCGTTTAGAGAATAATCTCACAGTTGTTCTCAAATAGAAAATAAAAAAGTCCCATACCTAAAGTCATTCACTCTGAATCGGAAATTATCATTAAAATTAGAGACAAATAATCAGACAAATTTAAGTTGTGTATGTAGTAAATTTGTGATATAAAATTAACTTAAATATGAATGTATTTATGCGCAAAAATTGACCTGAATATGCACTAAAAAGAGTGTTTATTTTCAGTGTCGATGAAGGTGTTTTTGTTTCACAGTTCTTAAGTTTTTTTAATTAAATACACAATAGGTACTTATTTATAAATAAAGTACAAAATAAAACAAAAAAATTAAATCCGTAAAAAATGGAAAAACCCTTGAACTATGCGGATTACAGTTTTCAATTTGGATTCTTCAAAATTCAAATTACATTTGTAGCTCACCTACTAGATGTATTATTGTAGAAACGAAATAATAACCTGCTCTTGTGAGCGATTATAATTATGTTGCTTGATAATTAATTAGTTAAAGCGTTATATACTCTGGGGGATTATAAGACGTCTTAACGTGGCAAAGGACTCGGAGGAGACTGGAGTAGTAATGAAGTTTCGTCATGCCGACAAAGTACTAAAGTGTGTAAATAATTGTTTTTGGTTTAGTTTCTGTTTTTTTTTTTTGTTATACTGTCTGTCAAGTACAACATGTTATATTTATTATTTATGAATTAATAAGAGGGGCGGTAGGTGGGCGGGTGTCCGAATGAAAAATGATCATCACGTCTCCTGGTAATTTCAACTTCGTGACGGCACAACACAACACCGGCAAAGTGTACACCAAAACGTATACCAACACTTTGCGCGAAAAGGCTATTAGAATATTTTTATTTTTATCAATAACTTTGGTTTCGCCTTGTTGTTGTGCTCACATCGTCTCAAACGCCGCACACACGCCATACGCCGGGTGTCATTAAATTTGCATTAGCGAATATATATTATTAAATTGCTGTTATATTTTTCCAACGCTAAACATTAGATTGATAAAGCCATTGAGTACGAATTTTCGGTTTGTACAAAATATATTACGTCTAATATTTTCCATATTGTACACAATTCCTATTGCTAAATAATTATTTAAACAACGAATTAGTTGAACTATTCGAATTAAACAATATTATCGAATACATATGTGTATTTAAATAAAACATTATTTGAAACAGTTCATACAAAATATTATGTACTTTAAATTGTTTAATTATTCGATGCGGTAAATCAACGCATTTTTAGCATATATCTGTCGTGCTGAATTTGGCTAAGCTTTGTAATAATTCCAATAATTTTCAAACAGTTCATCGAGTGTAACACATTAGCTGTTGTTACATGTTGTGTTTCTGTAAGTTTTGGGGCTTTTGACACTTTTCCCACGCAGAGTTGCGATGGAATCCGACGGTTTCGTGCATTTACTATGTAATATTACTTTTGTGACATACTCATACACACATACACGGTGAAATAATATCGAGCCGAGTCGACAGAGACATTTATTTATTTTACTTTTTTTTCTCCTTGCAACTATTGAAGACATAACGCTATCGCACAACGGCGACTTGTATGTCAGTCACCGACCATTTCGTGCCGTTGGTTTTTATTTGTTACAACAATAATAATACACCGAAACACAATGATATTATCTATATCTAGTAAGTAAGTGCACGGCTTTTTTTTTCTCCATTCGATAGCAGCACATCGATGGCGCACACGATATAATGTACTTTACGGTTTATTATTTATTATTCTACGTTCGTGTGTACCCGTTGTTTGTGCACTATGTAAAATATACAAATCGCATATTGACATACCTAGTATTATTATTATTGTTGCAAAACACAT